CCTATAATTGTAGTAAAGTTATTTTGGTTACGATTAGATCACACAACTTTATAAACAGACGTCAAAATATGTAAGATCTATACAGTTTGATTTGATGTTTAGTATATTTATAAATGACTTATACACGTTTTTAGATTTTACCTTATTAAATTGAGATCTCCATCTTAGAATTACTTGATCACACTTCACATGTTATCATCACGGAAGTACTATTTCATTTATCAATATTACTTACATATACAGTGTCAAATTTTACAATATACAAATACATGTATAGATTATTTAGTATGTATACACATAAATTTTTGTACTGTTTGTAATTGTAGAAATCATGCTTGTTGTGATGCCTGAAAGGGCCCTGATTTGGAAATAAAGAATCTTATCTACCATACTATCATCATCAATAAATAAATAAATAAATAAATAAATAGTGTATTCCATATCATGTTCTCATTAATGTTAATATGTATCCAACAGTAGATAATTAACTATCTTTAGTAAGAAAACCTTTTTTATACTAAGCACTTTAAGTTTAAACTCGGCACTGCATAAGTACAACCTCGTTATATAAAACGAGTACTTTCATCACGTAGGCGTTAAACTGCAGGGGGGGGGGGGGGCAGTAGGGTAATGAGACACAGTTACTCTCTGTATTGTTAATTATTAGTCATGCACCATTGTTTACGAATTAGAGCAAACATTCCTGGTAATTTATTATTTATATTAACCTTAAACTAGATGTGTTGCGTCTCAATATAAATATATGCACTATACATGTAAATTATATTCTTTTAGAACTTGAAAAGCTACTTACTTTCATGCGAATCAATTCAATTATTTGGAAGAGAACAATTTAAATGTTATCATTCATAGATTATAAACCCTACAGGTCAATAGAATAAGAAAGACATTTGAACTTTTTCTCTAGATATTTGGTTCATCTGTTCATTTTAATCACAGGCTTCTATAGCAGTAAATTTTAGTATGTTGTAACAAAGCAAGAGAGGAATGTGCTAGAATGGAGTTCCTAATCCGATATTCTATTGCGGGGCAAATTACCTTGGCTGTGTAAAGATATGCATTGATAAAACTGCCGAATCCTTAAATAAGTTCAGTAAAGTTAACTATAGGGTCGTTTCCAGATGTGATGGGAAGTTCGATCAGGAAAAAGATCGCAAAAGTAATTAACTCAGTTACCAAGCATAATTAATCTAGTTACAACAGAGGATATCTTATATATACAATTCGTCTGGCAGTAAGCTAAAATTTTTAAAAGCGGGCTTAAAAACATAGTGAACTGCCAACTTGATTTAATATTATCATTTATAGTAGTAGTAGTATCATTGATATATATTGTGGGGGTCACGGCTGGTTTTGTGAGTAGAGTGTTAAGCTACCCCCACGTTTGTGGCGGCGTGCATATTACATGAGTAACTATGCACGTTTGGCGGATTTAGCTTAACACACTTCATCTCGACTAGCGCCGCTGTGAACAGGGCGCAGCTGCAACATAATTATTTTGACAACTGGTCAATGGAAAACAATTGACAGAACATTGATTAATTGAAATATTGTTTGGCTTAAACATAAACTTACTACAATTCATTGAATTGAGTGAGTATTGATTGATTGAACATTGATTGATTGAACATTGATTGATTGAATATTGAAACATTGATTGATTGAACATTGATTGATTGAATATTGATTGATTGATTGAATATTGATTGATATTATTGAAAATGGATTGATTCATTGGACTGAAACTTTTTGATTGATTCAACTGAATATTCATTAATTGATTGGATATTCATTAATTGAATTGATAAATTGATTGATTGATTGATTGATTGAACTTGATATTGATTGAATCAATTGAATATTGATTGATTGATTGAATATTGTTTTATAAGGCTGGCGCACCGCAAAATTTGGAAAGCAAACGCCAGTCTTATAGTGTAAAAAATGACATGTGTACAGTTAATATTGATTGATTGTTTGCTTTGATTGGAGGTGTGCCAAAAACCAATTGGGTCGGCACCCACTGAACACATGTATCTTAAATAATTGATCTGCAACCAGCCGTGGCCATATGATGCCAAACTTAATAAATAAATAATTAAGAAATGGTGTCACTTGTTTTTTAGTGGTAGTCTGTGATAATCGGATTTATGTAGTGAATGCGTTATAAATCCATTTATCACAGCGCCCCACGTGGAAGGATGCGCGCGCAATATATGCGCAAGCATTTGTACATTCCATTCTCACACCATTTCCAAATGTTGCACGTTTAGGGTTTGCTGTGAATTTTTAAGAAAATTTACCCGCCCTTCCACACCCCATATTACTTTGAGTTGTTTTCTGCGCCGAGTTCTTTTCATTTCAGAGAAAGAGGCCTAAGGAGCCAAGCTGTCAATCATTCTAAGACCTTGCCTTAGTCATGACCGGCCAAAGCTGCCATTCCTTGCCATACAGTGATGAATGCTATCGTGATGGACACTTCCAAGTACCAGAAGGAAGGACTTCGCTCACCCAATCGTATTGGCTTATTGACTCTAAACAGGGTGAAGCTGCAACACGATAACTATCGATCAAGGACTAGATAACACCCATCGTCACGGCTGGTCATCTTATTATGCGGACAGTATTGTCTCTGTAATTAACAGAGCGAAGAGCCAGTTGGAGAGATACATCGAATAGCGCTTAACACAAATCATCTTGACACGCGTCGCTGTTAACAGGGCGCAGCTGCAACTTGATTATGTGGATGACTTATCGATGGAAAACAATTAATTGACTTGATAATTAACACAGAACATTGATTAAGGCAGATTTAGCTTAGCACACTTCATCTCGACTAGCGCCGCTGTGAACAGGGCGCAGCTGCAACATAATTATTTTGACAACTGGTCAATGGAAAACAATTGACAGAACATTGATTAATTGAAATATTGTTTGGCTTAAACATAAACTTACTACAATTCATTGAATTGAGTGAGTATTGATTGATTGAACATTGATTGATTGAACATTGATTGATTGAATATTGAAACATTGATTGATTGAACATTGATTGATTGAATATTGATTGATTGATTGAATATTGATTGATATTATTGAAAATGGATTGATTCATTGGACTGAAACTTTTTGATTGATTCAACTGAATATTCATTAATTGATTGGATATTCATTAATTGAATTGATAAATTGATTGATTGATTGATTGATTGAACTTGATATTGATTGAATCAATTGAATATTGATTGATTGATTGAATATTGTTTTATAAGGCTGGCGCACCGCAAAATTTGGAAAGCAAACGCCAGTCTTATAGTGTAAAAAATGACATGTGTACAGTTAATATTGATTGATTGTTTGCTTTGATTGGAGGTGTGCCAAAAACCAATTGGGTCGGCACCCACTGAACACATGTATCTTAAATAATTGATCTGCAACCAGCCGTGGCCATATGATGCCAAACTTAATAAATAAATAATTAAGAAATGGTGTCACTTGTTTTTTAGTGGTAGTCTGTGATAAATGACTTAAAACGAGTTTCTTAATATCCTTGTTTCATCAAGTTGTTTGTCAATAGCTTGCCTCATTTTAGAAGTTGTTCATACGTAGAGCACGCTTTTGCGTATCGAATCAACTGAGAGGCATAAACCCCATATGCAGGTGATAAGGGTATATTGCTACATGCACATTAGCAACGGAAGTTGAGGATTGAAAAGTTGAAGTCATCAAGTTTATCATAAAGCTTTGTTGTTAGATTACCATTGCCGTCTTTTTCTAGTAAAATATCTAAATATGAAACAGATGTGCCAGAATCTGTGGTATCTTATATTTCAAGCTCACTGGGATATATCGAGTTGATATATGAATAAAAGTACATGTAACAATTATTAATTGATAATACGTCGTCGATATATCGAAATGTCGAGTTGAAAGCTACAGCAAGTGTTTTCTTCTTCTCATGTAATAGTTTTTGAATAAATTCTGCTTCAAATGAATACAAAAATAGGTCTGCTGATAAGGGGGCACAATTGTTACGTTTTGATGCTATTGATTTTATTAAAAATTTGTGATTTCAAATTTTTCAAAAGTTCTTTGGAGTTTTTAATTATCCACATCTGATTTACACCACTTCTCGAATATACTGTTATACAGTACTTCTGAAGTTTCTCCTTCTTCATTACAGTAAATATTTTAGTGAGGAGTAAAGAAAGGGGCTTGGTAGAACATTTACTGGAACCCGCAATGTATCTTTCTTTGTCAGAATTTTTATGAAGTTTAGGAATCCAGCAAAGGTGTAGTAATTTAAATTAATTTTGAATGTTGGGAATATTGAACGTATTTAAAACGGACATAGGATTTTGAAGAATTTCCTCCTTAGAAGGGAGGTATGGGTGTAAGTTGGATTTCCACCCGTAGAATTAAATCCTAGCTCCTCTAAAATACAATTCAAATAGTGAGCCTTACAAACAAAGATTATGTTGTTACCAGCTTTGTCAGCTGGAACCAGTGCATACTGATTGTGTAATCTATCTTATTCCTTTCTACGTCTGAATTATTAAAGACAGAAATATAAATTGTTTTCAACCCCAATCAATCGATTAATGCGATATTTCAACATCCATGTGATGCTCTTAATCCATTCTGACAAAATGTCAAGGTCTTCTTTTTTCGTGTTTGGCCCATCGCCTGGCGTAATTTTCCACAGAATTCATAGTATTTATAAAATTATGACGCCAGTTGAAAGAACGAGGTTCCGTAGATTTTGGCCCTTTTAAAATTAGGGATTTAAGGTCCTCATTATTTACTATGTTTACATCACCAGTAATGATGTGTCCAGCAGGACTATAGTTGTAGGGTGAAAAAGAACATGAACACATGGGTGGATTATGTATCAGATGGTCGATATCTAGGCATTGTAGTGTGTTTTTGTAATTAAAAAGTTTGGAAGCAATAGTCAATGTATATGTCATGTTGAAATTTGGGGTGTTGATAATAATACCTGTAAAATATGACCAAGTCGTTGAAATAAAATATACGTCTTTTATTTTCGAAGTGTCCAGCAAAAGTATTGCATAATATAACATGACATAATAAAACACAAGATTATAAACAATGAGTTCTTTGCACAATTAAAAATAATGCAACAGATAATGAAAATTATTCAATGACCACATTATATAAACAACCTTATGGTTTACACGTGCACAGATATTACACAATTAATAAACAAATACAAGGGGAATTAGTTTGAATAATAACAATTAAGATGGGGAAAATTAACTTGAATGGTAGAGAACTTTACTTAGCCATGATGAGGTACACAAGTTATGAAGGAGCAGACATAAACATAGGGTCATATTGCATAATCTCAATTTACATATTTATTCACTTATATTCATAATTTCATTTAACAGTTACTAACTTTCATTTAGATACAATTGGAAATTAATCTGGACTTTTACTTATGAAATCAAAACAAACAAAAAGGGTATACAAATGCCTAATAAAAACATACACAACATCAATGCATATGCACTGACATAAAAAGGTGTAAAAATATGGAAGTGTGCAATAATAATAAAAATATGTATGAGTTGTAATCAAAATATGCAATGTTATAAACTTACATCTTCATCCCGTTAAAGTTAACAAAGTTATTGAATGAGTTTAACAAAGTTTTTCTTGTGCAGAGGCATTTTCACTTTGGGCGGAAGTGAACCAAAGTAAACAAAGGCGAAAGTAAATTTAGAACTGGTCATGTGACATCTAAACTTCCGGAAAAATGCTGTATACATAATTTTATAGAAAGTGTAATTTGGCGTTACTGAGAAATTTAGAGAAAATTATTTTAGCTCTAAAAATAGATAATTTTCAATCGATATATGTTAACATTTGTATATCTCAATTCATTGAGCTACGCATATCTATGACATACATTCGAAATTAAGTAAATGACTAAATCTAACAAGAACAAAGAAAATCAAATAAGATAAAGTACTGGTCTACATCAATTTGCTACAAAAACATATTTAATTTGAACACATTTACCCTGAGATCATGAAATATAAAGCATATGTACAATCAAAGCATAATAATAAAAGTAATATAAAATATTGCCTACCTGTAAAATATGACCAAGTCGTTGAAATAAAATATACGTCTTTTATTTTCGAAGTGTCCAGCAAAAGTGACGCGCTGGGCTTCGACTCAAAAAATCACTTGGTCAAGGTAAGGCACATACAGGGTAAAATGTAAACATATCAAAGGTGAACACAATTATTTACCTGTCGGGGGCCTCACACCCGAAATATAGAAAAATACCAATCTTAACAAAGGACCTTAATCCGATGGACTGACACTAATTGAGTGAAGTAGACTTCAAAAGATATTCTTAATCAAATTGCGTGGCTTTGCGTAAATGTTATTTGTCAGTAAATAAATCAGAATTTCACATCGCCAGAAAATGTGTGAATATGTACAAAACTTCTTAACTTATGGCTTTAAGCTAGTCAAAGTGATACTTGTTTTTCGAAGATAAAAGAATGCTGAAAATGACACATGTTCTTAAAAATCTTGAATGAAATTAATTATTTTATGAAATAAAATGTATGAATTAATTTTTAAAAGTCAAAACTCATTTTATTATAAAATATATCAGAGGGTCAATTTGACCTGATGATAAATCCCTCCTGGTTCAAAAATCTTTGTCCCCAAAGATACAAAAAATGTTAAAAATTGGTGAAAAACTTCAAAAAGAAAAAAAAAATCTAAGGAATATAACTACTGAAGCTTTGCGACTAAAAAAAAATCTACTGAGTATTGCATAAGAAAAACATTATGCATGAAAAATCACAAAAATATCAGAACAAACTTCAATGCATTTCATTGTACAAAGGCAAAAAAAATTATGTACACAGTATATATATCAGAAAAATGTATGGTATAAAGCTCAAAATTGTCACACAATAATTGTAAATTGTTTGAAGGTGACAATAAAAATCATGTAAAAGTACATAAGTTTAAACAATATCAATAATGCTTTCACACACTTTTCATACAAGGCAAGCTTGCTATCCCAGGTAATAGAGGTAGATTTTACTGGAGAAGCCTAAAATACTGATGATGGGACAACAAGAAATAAGCTGTATAAGGCTGTTTTAACAAATTGCGAAGTCTGTAAGCCTTGAGTGGTGTGATGCAAATACTTGTTGGTATATTGAGTCGTTTCTTTGTATGTATGTTTTCAATAATGAAATCTGGTGTTTCAATAGAAAGGTTTGCCCATAATAGGTATGTTCTGTGAATGACAATGTTGTGTATGTCTTGTGGAGGCTGAATGTTCCAATTATCAGGACAAAGCGGGAGTGTTAAAAGTGGGATGAGCATGCAGTGAGGTCCATTAGTGATTTCCATGTGAATTGTAGTTTTGTGTGTTCTTTTGAATTTGTGCCATAGCTTATGTGCATAGAAGCAAACAAGTAATGTGGTGAAAACCGAGAGTGTTATGTATGGCCATGGTGTTGTGAATGAGGTGTAAATATGTTGAAGTATAGGTGCTGGCTCAGTGTCGGGTTCATTAGTATAGTAGGATAGGAGGTTAGGGTGTGGGGTTGGAACGGCTTTAGTAGGGTTTGGGATGTGAGTTACAGCAAGGATGGTTGTTAGTTTTCTAATTTTGAAAAATGACCATATGCAGTAAATCATGCAAAGTGCAGTTAATGCAGAAGCGACAATAGCAATAGTACCGCTAGTGTCAGGAAAAGAGTCAACAGCAAAGTCAATTTGACCATCTATCATAGATTCAGCCAAAGATTGGAACACAATTTCATCTTTCTTAGCTAATTTTGCCATTTTCTTAAGACTTAAATGATGTTTGCGATCTGCAGCCAAAAATTGAGAAAATGAGTGGTTGAAAATTTTGAATTTTGGAACTTTTAGGTCTAAATATTGTTGAAAAGTTGTGTCGCCAAATATGGTAGAATGAAATTCAGGGTCAAAGAATTCTTGGATAAGTGCAAGGTTAACAGGGTGCAATACTGTTATGGAATCAGAGTTGTTATTACATTGACCAATCCTTGGGGGTAAAAAGAGATCTCCAGAAGTAACCGAACATAGACATGGTAGCTGCATGACACAAAATGGACAACCTTTGATTATTCGTTGACCAGATTTGCAATCTAGAGCAATCATTGATGTTTGATAGAAAAGAGTGTTAGATGGAGATAACTCAATAATTGAATGCCTAATTTTGTTTTGAAAGAACCGAAAGTCACACAAATCATGTAAAAGATTTTTGGTTGTAAAATAAAGCTGACATACAGGTTGGTGATGCAGATGAGGTAAGTGTAATGTGAAAAGGACAAAATTTGATTGATGTACCAATGCAATTAGAAATTTGTTCAGATGTAACAGTAGTGAAGTGTTGATTGTCATGTGTGTGTGCAAAGTACTGTATAGGGGATTAATTTCACGGGTTGTAATTTTCACGGTTTTCTCTCCTCTGACACGATCGCGGTTTGTTGAATTCGCGGAATCGGTATATAATAAAAGTTACCTCCCTTGTCTATATCCGTTTAATCCAGAACGACATTAATCAGCGTTAAGTATTCGCTTTAAAAACAACAGGGTAGTTTTATATAAAATAGTTAGATTTAATAATTAATTGACGACTAATTAAAACAAGTGCAGGTAATAAAAGTCCTTGACTATGAACGTCGAATGACTTTCTTATATACTATTACGATGAGTGCATGTACACCCCAAGATCTTCTTTCCGAAGGGATAATACATCGCGGCGAAAAACCACTGGACGGTAAGAAATGTGTTAATGTAGGTCGAAGAAATAATATCCTTCCACATCATCAGCAAGTTCAATAGTTATTTGAATATTTTTTTAAAAACAAAATGTCAATAAAAACTAATACGCATGATTATGCAGGTAACAAATACATGTGGTCACATAATTATGCACGGGTAATCAAAACCCATGACCCACGTGTTTTGATTGATGTAGCGTGGGCTATTAAAACAGCTTTTTAACAAATACGGGTTTATTATCTGCTGATCTGAATTACGGTAAAGTAAAGCGTGATAATTAAAATAATTGAATGACAAGTGAGACTCGTAATTACTGAAATGACCATGTAATACACGTATATATACATGTATATCTATCGTAGTGTATTCTCAAATTTCCAAATATAACATGTAGGTTATTGAAAACTTATTCACTGTTTCTTGAATTCACGGATTTCTTAACACCGTGAATATAGCGAATATTAACACCGCGAGTTATTTTCCCCCTATACAGTATGTGGGAACATCTGCAAGCTGTGTGGCGTGTGAAGATGATGAGTTGATGGGTACAGGAAATGAATAGACTGTGTACAACAAAAGTGGTTGTTTGAAGGGTGAGATGGGAATTTTCAAGGTCAAAAACAATGTTGAGTGTGTTCTTGCATACAAAAAGTCACCAAATGAAAAATAGTACAAAGGATTTTTATGAATAATATGAAATTGGGGGTATTTCTGGTCAATAATACCTTGAACTTGGTTGAGTGAAGATTGAATAACATGAGGTGTTATCAAAAATGGGGACAATTTTCCTTTGATCAACTCATGAATGCTAATTTTGAGGTGTTCTAGGGCAAGGTTTAAGGTGGCTGAGGCATTAGTTTGTTTCAAGATCAACTGTTCTAGTAAAACAAACTCACGTTCAACGGAATCGACTGTTCGATGAAGAAGGTCGGTTAGAGCTAAAGAGTCATTATGATTTTTCTCAATTGCGTTCATTACATTATTGAATCTTGCATCAACCGTGGAAATGAATGAAGACAAGTGTTTTTCCTGAACAGCCATTGCTTTAGCGATTTTGACGTTGTTGCGATTAAGGACTTGCATATGATGTTGTAAAGTGGCAATGTCATCAGATGTAGCAGTGCCAAAAAGTGACTTAGAGATTTGTCCAACAAAATCAAACAGACCACGTTTGGATCGAGATGAGCCAACAAAAGGTTGTGGACGTTGAATACGGCTCTGTGGTAGTAGAGTGTGAATCTCATGAACCGTTGAGTTAACACTTGCCATGGTTTGGGTCCTCAATGTGTTAAGGGTTTTGATGATGTATTTTCCATACTTGCACTGTGGGGCATTATTACAGTAGAGCTCTCGGTGTAAGTACACTTTCTTGGGAAGAGGTATTTCGAAGGTATGTGACCAATACTCCTGTCCTAGATAGAGCTGCTGATGTTGTTCAAACAGAACACCATAATTTAACCGCTGAATAGTGGTTGCATTACTGGTAGACACAAGGCCAAGAAGGGAAACAAGACATATGATGAGGAAAGTGGTCGGAAGTCCTGGGGTACCTAAGGAAAGAAGTGAGAAAGATCAGGGCAATGGTCATGAATATACTGTTAATATCAAATAAGGCCAAAATAACAATAAACAACGTTTGAGCAATATATGAAAATATTAACAATGAACACGACGAGTGGCTCAGGGAGCAATGATAGAAATAGGAATGTAGGAAAGGGTAGGTACAGAGTAAGATTTAGACCAAATCATTCATCTACTTGAAGCAAGTCAGTTTTGTTTTCTTCTTGCGGGCTGAGCCGGTTTGTGTTTTGGTAATGTGAAACTCGCGAACCATAGAAGGAGGAAGAGTTTCCTCGGGTTCCCATGTGCGTTCGCTGTATCCTTGCCATTTGACTCGGAAATGTTTCTTGCCGTTGACAAACTTGTAGCGTATGAGTTTTTCAACATAGTAAGTCTTATTGGAGTCGTCCTCTGTGGCTTGTTGAGAGGGATCTGACGAGTTTGGAGGTGGTTTTGATGACAAATCCAAAGTTGGATTGGCGTTTGATTGAGAGTGAGACAAAGTTGGCTCTGGTTGCGTGGGGTCTTGTATATCAGGATCATCGTCTGGGGGTAGATGAGTGTCGTCGATGGGCTCATCTGGATTCGGTGGGTCTAAGCTAGGACGGTGATCTGGAATGTTGTACGATTTCAATCTGTTCACATGAATGAAGGACTTCAGTTCCTTATTGTTTGAAAATCTCCGTAATTTATACGTGTTGTTTGGTCCAATTCTCGTCACATAGAAGGGACCATCCCATGGATTGTGTAACTTTAGTGACAATCCTTGTGGAACTTTTGTGGAGTGAAGTAACACAAATTGTCCTACACGGAATTCTTGTAATTTGGACTTCTTGTCATATTGCTGTTTTTGTTTGTCTTGAGCTTTCTTGATGTTCTTTTTGGCGATGTTTCTTACAATTTGAAGATGTGACATGAGATCATTCACATGAGTTTTTGCATCTTTACATAGGCCTTGTTTAGGTATCAAAGAAGTGTCGAATGGTAAGTTCATTTCTTTTCCAAATACAAGATGGTATGGTGATAGGTCTGACGCTTGAGTTGATGGGCTCATTCGCAAAGCCATCATAACACCTGGTAGAAGTTTGTTCCAGTTTGTTTGGTCTGGGTTGATGTAGGTACGTAAGCACTGTGCAATAGTACTATTCATCCTCTCACATGTTGAATTTGTTTGTGGATGGTAGGCACTGGTGAAATGTCTTGTTACTTGAAAAATTTCACATACAGCTGTTACGAGTTTGCTTAGGAAGTTTTGACCTCTATCACTGACGATTACACGGGGTGCTCCATATCTAGAGAATATTTCCGCAAAAAGTATTTCAGCTATTTCTTTAGATTCTTGGGTCTTCAGTTGGAATGCTTCTGGATATTTACTGAAGGAATCTACAATCAGCAGTATATACTTGTATCCTTCTTTGGTGGTAGGTAATGGTCCTAAGATGTCCATATGCAAGCGTGAAAAAGTGTCCTCTACTGGCATATTTACAAGAGGAGCTCTAGGATGGTTAGTTTGTTTTTTGGCGTGTTGACATGCGTCACAGGAGCGGATATAGTCAGCAACATTCTGATACATCTTTGGCCAGTAGTACTTCAGTTGAATTGCCCTATATGTTCTGTCCAGACCAAGATGTGCACCACCAGCAAGACTGTCATGGTAGGAACGTAACACGTCTTCTCGTAGACAACGTGGTACTGCTAGCTGTTTAAGAATTGGTTGGCACTGGACAATTTTCTTTGATCTGGGTTGGTAAAAATGGTAGAGGGTGCCGTATAAGAAGATGTATTGATTGCTTTCTGAAATGAGTTTGTCGCGCTCTTGCTTTAAAGATGGCACTGTTCCATTTGTGAAGTAGGAATGTAGAGGTCCAAAATCTGGGCACTGATTTTGAAGATGACCAATTTCATCAGGTTTGTCGACAAGACATACTGTGGGTTGAGCTACCTGTGATACTGACTGGAAAGGTATTTGACTGTCTTCATGTTTGTAGAAAAAGGTAACCTGATTATGTTCCTTTGACGTTGATAATGTGGAGACTGTGTTGGTGCTGGGTATTGCATCTTCTGGTTCTAAAGAAGCTTGAAGTTGCTGAGGGTATGTTCTCCTAGATAGAGCATCTGCTACACCATTTTTCTTGCCTTTCTTGTGTATCACGTTGAAGTTGTATCCCTGCAGAAGGATGGACCATCGAGCTAGTCAACCTGTATCGTGCTTGACGGTTTGTAGCCATTTCAGAGCTGAATGGTCTGTATACACAGTGAATGGTTTTCCAGCGAGGTAAACATGGTACTTTTTAATACCTTCAATAATGGCGAGGCACTCTCGTTCTGATATAGTGTAGTTCCTCTCATGTTTGTTGAGGGATCGTCCACCAAATGCTAAGACACGCTCCTTTCCATTGTCGTCTAGCTGTCCTAAGATAAATCCTAGTGCTGTACCGGATGCATCGGTAGTGAGAATAAATGGTTTGGAGTTGTCTGGATATGCAAGGACTGGTGGCGATGTGAGGGCTGTCTTCAGTTGATCGAAAGCCATTTGGCATTCATCACACCATTTGAATTTGTTGTCTTTTCTAAGGAGAGCTGTTAATGGTCCTATGATGGTACTGTAGTCATGAATGAATTTCCGATAGTAGTTACATAGACCAAGGAAAGATCTGACATCTTTGGTACATTTCGGTGTTGGAAATGATCTAACAGCATCTGTTTTAGAGACATCAACTTGGACTCCATCTTTGGTGATGACATGACCAAGGTAGTGAACTTGTTTTTGAGCGAAGGAGCATTTCGATGGTTTTAAAGTAAGACCTGCAGAACTAAGGCGAGAAAAGATTTGGTCCAAATGTTGGATGTGCTGCTCGAAGGAGCTAGAAAAAACAAGAATATCATCCACATAGACAAGACAAGTTTTCCAGTTGAGACCCCTAAGTACTTGGGTCATAAGAGCCTGAAAGCTAGCCGGGGCATTGACAAGGCCAAAGGGCATACGTTTCCACTGATACACTCCAGTAGGAGTAACGAATGCAGATTTGTGGGCTGTTTCAGGGTCCATAGGTATTTGCCAAAAGCCTGAAGCTAAGTCTAAAGTGGAGAAGATTTGTGCCTTAGAAATACCAATGGTGTCAAAAACATCTTCTAACCGAGGTAGAGGAAATGTGTATTGTTTAGTGACAGAGTTCAGTTTTCTATAGTCAACTGCAAAACGGAGCTGGCCATTTTTCTTCTTAACCATGACTACAGGGCTTTGCCACATAGATGTTGACTCTTCGATGATATTGGCCTGTAGCATTTCTTCTAGTTGTTTGTTCATCTCGGCGTTTACTTCTGGGGACTGTCGGTAAAATCGTTGACGAACAGGGAAAGCTTCACCAGTTTCTATACGATGAGATTGTAGAGAACAATTGCCTAATTCTGATAATTCTGTAGCAAAAACAGATCTGTGTTTGTGTAGAAAAGCAAGAAGGATCTGTTTTTGTTTGAGAGTTAGATCAGAGTCAGATAGATCAAAATCAATGGGACTCACTGAGGATTGTTTGTCAGAGTGTGTACGAGATGACGTAGAGCTGTCTAGAGATAGCACAGTTTCAGGGTTGACTAATGATGCAGAGGCAATGCATGTACTTGCAGACAGAGTTATCGGGTTGTTTGTAGGATTGATAACTTGCATAAAGTGAACATCATTGTTGAGGGTATCAACCAAGCATTTGGCTCCTGCCAAACCTAATTCAGGGAGATGTTGTGATGGTTCCAATAAAACATGAGTACCATTCAATGAAGTTGAAATAAAGACTTCAATTGCCATGACACAACCAGGATTGACAGTGACTGACTTAGAAACTCTAGCGAGGCCTGAATTAATGTCAATTGCAAAGATTTGATTGGAAACAGGGTCCCTAAGAGAAAGTGTGTTTTGTGCAACACTAAGAACAGCATCATTTTCTCTGAGAAAATCTAAACCCAAAATAAGAGGTTGATGAAATTTTTCGAATATTTGGAAATCCTGTTTGAACACAAAACCATCAAAAGAAACTGGTAAGGACACAACACCAAGACTACAGTGAACTTCGCCACCAGCGGCGACAGCATCAGTGGCATTTGCTGAACGGATTGTGCTCTTGTCTATCTGTAACCTAGAAACAAGGGATGCTGATATGCAAGAAATAGATGCACCTGTATCAACCAATGCACGTATGGGGGTGCCATAAATATCTACACTAACACTATTGTTCATGATAGGCATAATCAAGTTAACAGAGCTGTGTGTTTTCTTACCCCTATTTGATTTGGTCTTGTTAGCAGAGGTTGATGGGGAGATGGAGGTTTTGGGTTTGTTAGTTTGACAGCGAATGTTAGTTGATTCATGCCTAGAATGAGCTGTTAGTGAGGATGCACTGTTACTGTTAGTTTGGTGCCTATCCTTAACAAGGATAGGCGCGTTTCCCTAGCATGTTTGATTGGTTGTTGGGTTTTGTGGGTGAGTGGTGCCAGAGAAATGTGGTCTTGTTTTTGGTGACTGACAGACGGACGCAAAGTGACGAAATTTACCACAATTAAAACATTGTACGTTATAAGCAGGGCAATTAAATCTGGGGTAGCAAGACTTACCGCATCCCTTGCATCCTCTACCCATTCCCTGACCATTCTGTCTCATTGGCGCTGTCTGCATCTGCTGCATTGGCGGTTGCTGTTGGAAGTTTTGTGGCGGCACAGCATAAGTTGGATTTGTCCACGCATTGTTAGGCACAGAGGGCACAAAGTTCACAGAGGGCTGAAATTGCGGATTGGCTTGAACTTGTTGGTATTGTCCAAATGTTTGTTTTTTGTTTTTCCATCCATTTTTCTTTTGTGTCTGTGGGATGTTGGGTACCAAGGCATTGATTTCTTCCTTGAGTGACTCTTTCAACTGAGCGGCAAGGGCGATTAAATTCAGACTGTTGTCATCTTCTGTCCTGCACTCAATCTGTGCATTTGCCAGGGAAACTGCATGGCGTAATTGTTGGAAAGTCTTTGGTTCCTTTGAAAGAACCTTTTCTTTAATTTGTTTCTCGAGTCCCTGAATAACAAATTGAACTTTATATATCTCAGGTAGTTCGTGTCCCAAGGCCGTTTTCTCTGCTCTTGAGAGATAGGTGTCTGTAGATTCTCCATGTTGTTGTTTAATGGAGAGTAAGGAAAAATTTGTTTCCTGAGGTGCAAATCTGCTTTTCAGGCAGTCCTTAAAGTCTTTAAGGTTGGTTCGTTGTTGGGTCGTCAGTGTTTGTAGCCATGTTTCGGCTTGTCCTTCAAGGCTGCACCCAATGGCTAATAGTGCTTCATTGTCTGTCACCTTGTGAAATTTTTGCCAGCTGTCTAAATTTGACAGCCACACATGAACATTTTCACTTCCACTGAATTTTTTTAAATTAATTCCTGTGGCCATTTTGTTCTGGATATTATTCACACTTTCACTTAAATTTGTAGTATTGTCTGTGATGTTTTCAGTGTCACTTTCAGTGTGAACGTGGCTAGTGTTTTGAGTTAAGCTTTCACTGATTCCAGTGTTGGATTCTGTGGCCTCGGTAATAGCACTGTCCGTTGTTTCTTCTGTTGTTTCTATATGTAGTTCTTCTGTATGGCTGGTGTTGTTAGATTCTGTATTTATACTTTGGTTCTCCAGTTGTTCGGAGCTGCTCATTGGATAATTGGTTTCTTGATCAGTGCTGGGTGGTTCGGGATTAGATACACTGTTTTCCGAAGGAGTTTGGTCTTTGTTTTGTCTGTCTCGAAGGTAGTACATATAATTTACTGGTCTGCTCTTCATTGGGAACTTTGGGAATTCATCCACCAACTTGTCATGTTGAAATTTGGGGTGTTGATAATAATACCTGTAAAATATGACCAAGTCGTTGAAATAAAATATACGTCTTTTATTTTCGAAGTGTCCAGCAAAAGTATTGCATAATATAACATGACATAATAAAACACAAGATTATAAACAATGAGTTCTTTGCACAATTAAAAATAATGCAACAGATAATGAAAATTATTCAATGACCACATTATATAAACAACCTTATGGTTTACACGTGCACAGATATTACACAATTAATAAACAAATACAAGGGGAATTAGTTTGAATAATAACAATTAAGATGGGGAAAATTAACTTGAATGGTAGAGAACTTTACTTAGCCATGATGAGGTACACAAGTTATGAAGGAGCAGACATAAACATAGGGTCATATTGCATAATCTCAATTTACATATTTATTCACTTATATTCATAATTTCATTTAACAGTTACTAACTTTCATTTAGATACAATTGGAAATTAATCTGGACTTTTACTTATGAAATCAAAACAAACAAAAAGGGTATACAAATGCCTAATAAAAACATACACAACATCAATGCATATGCACTGACATAAAAAGGTGTAAAAATATGGAAGTGTGCAATAATAATAAAAATATGTATGAGTTGTAATCAAAATATGCAATGTTATAAACTTACATCTTCATCCCGTTAAAGTTAACAAAGTTATTGAATGAGTTTAACAAAGTTTTTCTTGTGCAGAGGCATTTTCACTTTGGGCGGAAGTGAACCAAAGTAAACAAAGGCGAAAGTAAATTTAGAACTGGTCATGTGACATCTAAACTTCCGGAAAAATGCTGTATACATAATTTTATAGAAAGTGTAATTTGGCGTTACTGAGAAATTTAGAGAAAATTATTTTAGCTCTAAAAATAGATAATTTTCAATCGATATATGTTAACATTTGTATATCTCAATTCATTGAGCTACGCAAATCTATGACATACATTCGAAGTTAAGTAAATGACTAAATCTAACAAGAACAAAGAAAATCAAATAAGATAAAGTACTGGTCTACATCAATTTGCTACAAAAACATATTTAATTTGAACACATTTACCCTGAGATCATGAAATATAAAGCATATGTACAATCAAAGCATAATAATAAAAGTAATATAAAATATTGCCTACCTGTAAAATATGACCAAGTCGTTGAAATAAAATATACGTCTTTTATTTTCGAAGTGTCCAGCAAAAGTGACGCGCTGGGCTTCGACTCAAAAAATCACTTGGTCAAGGTAAGGCACATACAGGGTAAAATGTAAACATATCAAAGGTGAACACAATTATTTACCTGTCGGGGGCCTCACACCCGAAAGATAGAAAAATACCAATCTTAACAAAGAACCTTAATCCGATGGACTGACACTAATTGAGTGAAGTAGACTTCAAAAGATATTCTTAATCAAATTGCGTGGCTTTGCGTAAATGTTATTTGTCAGTAAATAAATCAGAATTTCACATCGCCAGAAAATGTGTGAATATGTACAAAACTTCTTAACTTATGGCTTTAAGCTAGTCAAAGTGATACTTGTTTTTCGAAGATAAAAGAATGCTGAAAATGACACATGTTCTTAAAAATCTTGAATGAAATTAATTATTTTATGAAATAAAATGTATGAATTAATTTATAAAAGTCAAAACTCATTTTATTATAAAATATATCAGAGGGTCAATTTGACCTGATGATATATACAAGGTGTGGACTTCAACTTGAATTATAGTGGAATACAAGATTGGACCCTTTTGTGATTAAGAATATTAATAATATTAACTGCATTGATTCCTTTGTTTACAAATTGAAGTTTAAGGAACAAACGGGTTGGTTGAGCGGTATTATCTTCCGTAAAACGTGGCGGTTTGGAAAGCCTATGATTTGCAATATCCATAATGACAGATCCAAGCCTGTATTCAAGTGTCGAAGAATCCAGATATGGACTTTCTTTGACTTTTTCAAATAAACCATGTAGAACTTTTAGACCAATTCAACTTAATTAGTAGATTATCATCCAGGGTCACCAAAAAATATGGGGCGGATGGGAGGATTTTATTTCTTATTTTTTTATTTATCAGTTTTTTGTGTCCGATTTTGACAGTAATTCTAGCCGTCTGAATGTCAGGTTGGGATGGCATGTTGTCAATATTTCTGCTCACAAAATCATTGTACAAGTCGATGATTTTGTTTTTTCATCACTTAAATTTGTAGCATGCCAACCCCTTCTTTCGATTACGCCTGTCACAACACGAGAAATAACAAAAACCATTTTTTTCCTTTCTTGACGTGGGTTTTGATGTTTCTAAACCGGAAATACTTTTTGAAATATAAATACCGGAATCGAACACGAAAATAATCGGATAACATAATTCTTGCAAAAATGGAAAAAAAAAAAAAAAAAAAAAAAAAAAAAATGGGGCGGTCCAATTTCTGAGGGGCGGGCGGGGATGATAATCTATCAATTAAGTTGAATTGGCCTTAAAGGGACAGAGTAAAGTTTGGAGCGAATGTGATTGAGACCTAACTGTTTACTTACATAAGGTAGTAGTGAATCAAAAGAAACATCGTGTATTATAGGTTTATTTTATGGTCAATGTCCATGACTACGCTTACGTCTCTGAGTATTGTAATAAAGTCTCATCACAGTCCCATTAAATTAATGGCACTTAACAAAAGTTTCATATTGGTATTAATGGTTTATCTTACATCTGTAAATGATTTTGTGTTGAATACGAAAAAGCTTTTTTTTTTCTCTGTGAAAAAGAAAAATACGAAGATGACATCATTTCGAACTAGTGTTTTGCGATCGTTGTCTTGTTTATACCTTATTCTGTGGGATTTAAATACATGTATATCGCGACAAAAAAGAATCAAGTGGTAAGTTTTGATGTAGTTCATTACTCTTATACAGTTGAAATCGAAAATAATTTCAATTTTTTTTTTTTTTTGGTATTGCAAGGGATTGGTATTTCTGAGTTATGTTACTGAAAACATTACTCGTATGAATTGGGCCCCACTCCTTTAATGGAGCCTCAATAGTGCTGCGTAGTTATCTTAAAATATGAATTAAGTGAATGTCGTGAAAGAAACTTTTAACAGAATATCAATTTATTGAAGAAGTTTTTTTAAACTATGTTGGATAGTTGATACGAGTCATGTGGTTTTTCACAAACAATGTGTAACGAGTTATGCTTTTTTACAATATCTTAGATTACTTTCTATGTATGATTTTGATAACAAAGAAAATACAACTTTGTAGTCAAATTTAGTTACAAAATCTTTCATTTCTGGTAATGTGGAACGATATTCACTAGTGCATAACATCTCATTTTTTTTTTTTATTTTCTTAGTTCTGACTTTCAGTTATGTTCCTATTCCCCATTTTAATAACGTGAGTTATGTCCCCTAGAAATCGGAACTCTTCTTAATTAGCATAACTTCCGCTGACTACGGCATTTTGCTTGTTATGGAAGACGTAACTCTCTTCAACGATTGGAGTCTTGTAAAATTAAGAGAATTTTTGAAAGATAATAATCAAATTGTATCAGGTAGCAAAAAAGATTTAATAGAAAGAGCGCGAGGCGTCCTTGTTCTCAAATTAACGGATGTTGAAAGGCAGAACGATGTAATTCCATCACCAATTTCAAAGTTTCCCGATGGACAATCGGTACCCAATGTAAACAATCTGTCTAACTGGACCTCAGATTTATCACGCATTCCAGATTTTTCAGAAAAGGATATTTATAACTATTTAGTTATCAAACTAAACACTAAAAGACAACTTAAATCCAAAGTATTCCTTGAGGATAAACATGTTCATTCCGTGGAATATAGTCCTGTCACTGATGATTGCACCCATTGCTGCATACGATGTAAAGTTATTCCATTATTTCCTTCAGCTAACGCGAACAAGCGGCCTGACTATGATGTGTCAGCATTTTTGTCCAAGGTTACAGGGAATGTCTTTGCTGCATATTGCACATGTACAGCTGAGTATGTTTGTCATTTCTTTGCATAATATTATAATACATTTACTCTACCAAATCAATTAGTTCTCATGAACTACCTAGAACCTATATAAATACTTGAATAAAATAACTTGGAGATATTATTAACATGAATTTGTGTTTATTATTGAAGGTATTTCATCATAAATTTGTGAAATCTGACTTAGTTGTTACTTCGCCTTCGGGATTTAAACTCTACCACATCTTTTCATTTTTTATGTCATGATTAACTAATATTTTTATTAGTTGCTTTGGCCAGTTTTCATTAATTTTGACTGATCTGAGTATTATTCCTAAAGAGATCTTGATCTGCCAGGCAGAATTAAATAGCTTTCTTGACATCAATAGACATACAATAGTTATCTAAAAAAACATGGAGTTTGTGTTTAAACTGTCATAATGATTCTTAATGAACCCCATTTTATGAATTAAAGATTGTTTTTATGTTTCCAATTACAGCTTTGGGGAGGCATGCAACCATATATCTGCATTGCTCTATGCAATTGCCGACATAGATGAAAAGAAGAAAAGTGGTCTTCTCGCTTGTACGTCAACTAAATGTTTATGGAACAACCCGAGAAAAAGAAAGTTAAGTCCCAAAAAATCAAGTGAAATAAAGTTCAAAAAAAGTTCATATGGTTGCCCTGTAAGGCAAGATGATCAATCCAGTACATCTGCCAGTACCGAGACAACAACCAAAGTACTATCATCAACTTTCAACATAGATAGTTTCCAAAAAATTCTAAGCTGGTTGGCTTACATACTTTGCTATCAGATCTATCGGTAATGAGGACAATATTCCATTACTTCACAATATTTTATATATGTATCATGACAATGTCGATGTTAATAATTCCAAAGTACAAAATGATTTGCGTCAATATTTTGAATCTCTGTCTGTCTCAAATGCTGATTGTGTCAAGATAGAGAAACTTACAAGAGGTCAAAATAAAAGTCAGAACTGGTTTGATTGCAGAAAAGGGAGGCTGACAAGTTCAAATTTTGGAACAATATGTAAGTTGAAACCGGGAACAGATCCTAAAAATCTTTTAAAATGCTTGTTGTATGATGTTTCCTTTCCCTCAAACAAATTTATTAAGTGGGGAATTGAACATGAGCCTGCTGCAAGGAGATGTTATTGCAGACTATATCCTTCTTATATGGTGTCTCAGTCAGGTCTTATTGTCAGTCCGAAGTATCCTCATCTAGGTTCTAGTCCTGATGGTATTGTTACCTTACCAAGTGGTGAGAGCGGTCTCTTAGAAATTAAATGTCCAGCATCAGACAAATGGCGAACCCATTCTCCTGCTGAGTGTGCACTTGATTCTGAGTTTTGTTGTACACTTGATGAAAATCAAAATTTAAAATTGAAAACAAATCATAATTATTATTTTCAGGTACAAGGCCAAATGGCAATATGTAACAAACACTGGTGTGATTTTGTTATTTGGACTCTGAAACCACCACTCTCTGTTGAAAGAATATATTTTGACCAATCATTCTGGTTGAAATGTTTAAATAAACTGAATGATTTTTATACAAGAAGTATGCTACTAGAATTTTTCACACAAAGATTGTTAAGATCACTCAAGTAAATAAACATTTTGAGTCATCTTTTTGAAATGGTCTTTTAAAACAATGGATGTCAGTTCAAACTTATTCATTTATTGCAATATTAAAGAGACTATGCATTAATATTGAAATCATGACACAAAACAAATTTATGCTGATTGACAGATAGTGAAATAGTTAGACATTGATGTTTAAAGTTTTAATTAAGAGACACAGATGTTACATGTACAAAATTGAATATGTAGATTCTTTAATATCTGAATCAAATGCAAATAATAATCAGTAAAATTGCAAATTTGAATGCAGGTTGCAATCTCAAGCTTAGGGCTAAGGTAAACTAAAAATACATAATTATTA